AAACCTTTCGTTTTTTATCACAATAATTTTCAGTAGCAAACGATACATATAACATTTTATGCTTGAAAATAGAGCCTACTCTTCTAAAAGGCCGGCAACGTAGCCGCAATTACCCTGATATTACAGTCGTTCATGTTGAAATGATACGCATGCTCATTCATCGCTTCTATAAAAAAAAAAACTGCTTTAACTTCCCACATTTTCTAGTAGTTATTTTTTCCAAAACGAAATGTTTCTTGAATATAGTCACCAGCCATTATAACCAGCGCACGTTGGCCAGTTACTATCACCTATACACAAATGTTTGCCGTTTGATTTGAGCAATAAACGTTTGGGATACTAACAGCTCGTTTTATTCGCTAACCTTGCCTTGTGTGTCTACTAACTCACGGCTTTAACAAATTAAGTATACTACATAGTTCACAACTGTAATAAGAATTAATTTTAGAATTCAATTGTATTTATAAATACCACGTTTGTATTAAGTTAAATATCAGAATTAATTTATCGCCAAATTCACGATATATCTTTAACCTACGAGCGGTTATACGTAAGTATCCATATACTTACGCATACACGCTATGGAGGAGGCAAGAAAAGTGTGTCAAAATCGTGCTAAATGAAAGTCCTTATTCTCTGCCTACCCCTCTGGGTATCAAGCGTGAGTGTTTATGTTATGTTTCTAACAAAAAAGATAGATGGAGCACTACTTACAGTTGACACGCCATCACGCACATACCTTTCTTACTTTTTTCACAGCTCGTAAAAGTCTTCTGCTGAACGCACACATATGAACCTAAAACCACATTGATTGCAAATTATATTGGATGCATATGTATGCGTTAATACGTGATTTTCAATAACTTGAATATGGTTTTGGTTGAACTTCACCGTTACTTATAATAGACGAATAGAGTAAATAAATTATGCTCATATTGGACATTAGTATAGTTTATTTTTATGGGCTAATACAGTTATAGATTTCGAAACAAATAGGCATAATACTATAGAGTCATAAAGAAACATAGGCCTTGGAGCCATCCATCTAGGATACAAGACTTTTGAATTTTTCCAATGTAGCCTCTTACGCCATAAGAAGCTAGCTTGGAAAAATTCAACAGTCTTGTATCCTAGATATAAAACACCAAGATCGGCCTGGAGAGCTGACTCCAAGATGCGAATTTACTAACAACAAAATATACTGGATGGCGCTTAGGTTATCACGTTAAACAGCACAGCAATTAATACAAGTTGATATATGTCTGTTACAATAATAAAAGAAAATAAAAAATGCATTTTTCAAACAAAGTAAATAGCGTAAAAAATTGACAACAAATAAATCATCCTTGATAATATTAGTTTACTGACCTGAAGTGACCTGAAAGATCGGCAACAGCGCTCAGTGCTCACGTGACATCGACATAGGTAATTATAACCTACACTTGACCATACCATAATTAGGCACGCGTAGGGCGATGCTAATCCGATGTTATCAACGAATCATAAACTTCATGGTATTGTTTTTATCCAAATAATCACTTTAATATTGAAATCACTCAAGTTTAATAATCAAATCAAATCAAATTTTGAAGAAAAAAAAATAATGTTGATGTATTCTGACGACATGAAATTGTGATACAAAGAATCTTAAAATTTAAAAAATGTTAAGACGTTAAAAATTAAAAGCGTGCAATTGCGCACGGGCTGTCACACCACTAAGTTATTAAATATGCTTATCTAGCGTATTATTAACGTGTCCTATCACAAACAAATTAAGAAACTTATTAAAATGTCCACAAAACAAAAAAAAACAACAATTAAAACTTAAAGGACGTGTACGCGAAAAACGAAATTTAGATCATGCGACTCATGAATCATCACCAAGGACGCCGGCGTCGGACTAAGTGACGTACTTTCTTACTAATCGTCGCACGCGCCAGAGGTAAATATGAATTTCGACACCCCGTCTCATTTCTTGTCACTTCGCGCATAGAGAATTATGCCTTAGTCCTTTAAGGTGGCACAAGTCGCGGGCTCGAACTCGCTCGTGGGCGCGGCCAAAAAGCACGCTGTCTCACTTGACATCGTGCCCGACAAAGATAGTATCAGTGATGAGCATATCGACACTAGTATTCACGCACGTCTTGTTCCGAACCGTTAGAATAAAAACGAAGTTACACGAACACGATGCAACATCTATCTATACTAATATAATAAAGCAGAAGAGTGTTTTTGTTTGTTTAAACGTGCTAATCTCTGGAACTACCAGTCCGATTTGAAAAATCTTTCTTTGGATATTATAGCCAGATTCATGTTCATTCAGGCTATATATCTCAGCTAGCCTATATTTGTGGAAGTCAGAAGAAAAAGCGCTGTTATGGTTCGGGATACGTAAATACAATGTTCTAGAAAAATATAGATCTTTACTCCCTCTAAAAAAAAGTCCGCGATACCATATGTCTATTTCTTATATATAAGCCACAATTAGGCATTTTATGACAAAAAAAAATGAAAATTTAACTATTAGGCATGGCATATTTATCCTTACGAACGAAAGTTACTTCATTATCAAGACAATTTTATGAAGATAAACTTCGTTTTTTATACCATGTTTATATAGTACATAGTTGAGATAATGTAAAATTAAAATAATTCAATACTTGGCTTGACGCGCAAACAACGCATAACCCCTAGCCCGGTGCGAACTTGGTTGCGAAGCCAGTATTGAAAGCTTCTATGAGCGAGATTAGGTTAGCCGTTAGTTCAATCGTTATCTATATCTACACAAATAAATAAAATTGAAGTGTCTGTTTGTAATGTCAAAATAACAGCTTTTTACTAATTGCGTATGAAACTGTATACGGTACTTATAACATTAACACAATTTTTAACATATTTGTATGTCTGTCAGTCTGTTTTTTCTGGTTAATTTCCAAAACGGCTGGACCGATTTTGACGGGATTTTCACTAGTAGATAGATCATGTTATAAGAAGTAACTTAGACTGCTTAAATTTTAGAAAAATTATTAGGTGTCTTTGCAACAAAATTAACGCCCTAAACTAAATGCGGACGAAGTCGCAGGGAACAGCTAGTAGCTAAAATAAATTCAAAATTAATTGAGTATTTTTATCTATCTCCCGGGTGAGCGTAACAATGATTAGTTACATCTTTATTTCTGAACTCTTTCATTTTACGTTGCTATGGTATTTTGAAAGTTTAAATTTAATTGATTAATAAGTATAAGAGGTTGATAACAAATTTATCAAGAATCATTTCTTGCCTACACACTTTTCATGTATTGTGTACGTTTTTCTTTAAAACTGGAAAAAACCGCGCATAATATGCCGACAGATAAAATAAAAGTACTCCATTAATCATGACAATTTTTCATACATTACTATCAAATAAAATATTAGATTGCAATTATAAAATGCTTGAACTAGGTGTCATGTCATGCCACGCATCTCGGACACGTGATGACGCGGGTGAAACCGCGAAATTATTAGGTGCTGCTTTATCGCTTCATATTATACCTCTGTGGCTCTATATACCTAATATAGATTGCTTATTTTATTATGTTTAGTTTTCCCCAAGTGGTCATGCAGCGATCACTCAAGAGTTCGGCTTTGAACGTGTGTAACTCGAAAATTATCCCACGGGAACGAAATACATGAATAAACGGTATCATATATATGTTATTTGACAGCTTCGTGGCGCAGTGGCTTAGCAATGAATTGTTGTACTGGGAGCCGCGGGTTCGAATCAATCGAACAAGTATTTGTATGGCCTACAAATAATTGTTCCGGGTCTGGATGTTTGTAAACTGCCTCCACGATACAGGAGAAAATCCTAGTGTGGGGGTAACGTATTATAAAAAAAAATCCAGTCTATAACCTATCTCTGAGCAAAATATCATCCAGATCCCTTCAGCCGTTCTGGCGTGATTGAGTACATCCATTCATCCGTCCATCCAAGTATCCAAACTTTCGCATTTATAATATTTAGATAATAATCGTAATTAGTTCTCCTACCTATAAATTGTTTTCAAAAATACTTACTTACCTGTCTTCTTACTTTTTTTATATATACTAAATATCACTAAACGTAAGCACAGGTTTTTATCAAGACAAGTGACCCATCAAGATTGTTTTCTTAGTACTGACGTACCTACCTAAAGTTTACAATTTTGTGGCCACGACGCGGCGACGATTTGTGACATTTTGTTGTATTGTAGGTTGTAGGTATCTAGGTAATAACAGTAGGTACCTATGAAAATCCCACATAATATACTTTGTTTGTCCGCCGCAAAAGTCGTCTAATAAATAATTAAACTGTTTTGTAATTCTTTATTTATTTATAACACTTGCATTGAGAGGCGACGGATTCAACTCGGTTGGGCAGCGTTCGGGAAATTACGGCACATCTTCTCGTCAGGTATACCTCAAAACTTGAAAACGAGACTGTACACCCAGTGCGTGTTGCCAGTGATGACATACGGAACTGAGACGTGGTCCTTCACTGCTGGCCGGATGAGGAAGCTCAAGGTCGCTCAGCGAGCTATGGAGAGGGCTATGCTCGGAGTTTCTCTGCGTGATAAACTCAGAAATGAGGATATCCGCAGTAGAACTAGAGTGACCGACATAGCCCAACGGATTAGTAAGCTGAAGTGGCAATGGGCCGGCCATATAGCTCGAAGAACCGACAACCGATGGGGAAGAAAGGTTCTCGAGTGGCAGCCTCGTACCGGCAGGCGAAGTGTAGGGCGTCCCCCCACTAGATGGAGTGACGACCTGGTAAGATATGCAGGAAGTCGATGGATGCAGGTGGCTCAGGACCGTGCTTTGTGGCATTCTTTGGGGGAGGCCTATGTTCAGCAGTGGACTTGTGAAGGGCTGTAATGATGATGATGATGATGATGATGAGAGGCGTGGTAGCTCAGATGGTTAGCGCTCGCTGTAAGTATCACATTACGCGAGCAACCCGGGTTCGATCCCCGTCGGCACCAATGAAATTGTTGCAATTTTATACAGTAATCGAATATAGATTTTACTTTTTTTTTACTTTTATAATTATATTATATTACAGACGAAAATTTTAAAATTGTCTGTTGTGCAAAACGCACCATCTCTTTCAATTATATCAATTTCCATGCCGTTTTTGTCTTTGGCGTCCAAATTACAAAATAGCAAAACTTTTCGTTTCGAATAAAACTCGAATAAGCGCGGGTCACCGCCTGTGCATGTGTGTGTAAGCATCGTCCTCCCGCACCGCACCGGGGGAAACATTATTCAGTGAGATGCACGATAATTCATAGTAACATGCGCGCGTAAAAAAATACGAAAAGGCCTTTGGAAGAAGGGGTTTTATGAAAAAACCACTGCATAAATAAATTACAAATAAAATTTATTGAATTCTTCGATAATTGAGCTGTGTCGGTACCGACTTTGTTTTGGAAATTTTACACTTCTTTTATTACTAATTTATGCCCAAAGTTGTGTTAAAATTGGCAATAAAAACGAATCTTTGGTAGCTCGTAACTTTTTAATAACATTTTATTTTACTATTCTGTTTCCGTACAGACAAATTTAATAATGAGACAAAACGATATCATGTTTAATTTTGGATGTACACTGTCAAACAGCGGAGTAAAACCCCTCCGAAATTTCTATGGAAATAATGTCGACTAGTGTCACCTTAAGTAAATTTTTCGCTTGAATTTGTTATCACACACCCGCAGCGCGCGGCTCCTTTGTTTTTAATTTCGCCCATAAAATTATGCCTTAAATTGTTTGCCGTAAGTACATTTTTTTGCTTGATTTTTCTTTATTTGAGTAATTTGAATTGGCAACGCTTAAACTACGTATATTAGCCTGCAAATGCCATGGGTCTTTGACCTTCTAGTATTCATTAGGTGATAACTGTACATTTACATGATGTTATTTAATATTAAAACAAAAAAATGCTATGTACGGCGACTAGAATATTAATTGTTATATATATTTTTTAGTTGTGTATGTTTAAGGAAATTTATGTATGATACGTGTTTTCATTTAATGTGATAACTTTATCGTCACTCGGTATAAAGCAGTAAAGAGGACACAACGTTTGGTATGGAATCATTTCATTAACCAAACAAACCAACAAACAAATAAATCAACAAACCGCAAAGTTTAACAAAATCTACAAAATTGCGATATAAAACTAAAACGTTAAAACTTTATTTTAACAAAACAAAACACTCATGAATCAATTAAACGACTGCGGTTTTCGCAACCCAACGAACACCCCAACGCTTGCAGAAACAGTAACAATGGCGATCGATAAAACTGCATTAGCGATCGAATGTACTAAAGCATAGCCGGTAAACCCGTGCGTCCGGCTAATTGCGTTCAGGCTTACACACGTCTGCTCTGTTCACGCCAAAGCGCACCTAATTTATAATTATTAGTGTACACTATCGTAAAGTTCGCGACGCCGCACATTAATTGCTTATCGTGGGGAACGCGTTAGTGGGGAAAGCTGCGGTCAACTCCGTTATCTTTTGCTGTAAAATTATAATTTTACGAGATTTACTACTTAATCAAGGCGTTAAGGTGAATCTAACCTTTCTAATAAATTTGTAATTAAGCTTGTTATCTTAATTCATATTAATTAAGTCAATTGTCAAGTAGATTATTATTGAAAACTGGCGACGCGACCTGGCGCCGCCTGAGTAGAATCTATTAATGTGGCTTTATCAAATTTGTTTTTTTTTTCAAACTACCTCCAAATTTTGGGATAAAATATAGCATTCTTAAAGTTTCAACACAATCATTTCAGTCTTTCTGAAGATTAACCCAGACAGACAATTTAAAACATTTCAAAATGTTTATTCATGTCTTAGTGGGATGTGAATAACCCCCTCAGATCATATAAAGCGTTTCTATATTATAGACAGAAACTACAGTTTTATTTATATGTACAGATATACAAGAAAAGCTAAAGAATGATATCGCTTTTGATAGATAAATTACGTAGACCGGCGGCACAGAGCAGTGTCAAAGGAGCGAGACGTCTGATATCATGCCCTGGTTTATGCATATCAATATTGAAAGGTCCATGTCCAGTAGTTGATTGAAATGGGCAGATATTAAAGAATCTTTTTCATGAAAAAAAAAACGTTTTTATGAGTGGTAGAGCCATGCTGCAGCTATATTTCTGGTATAGTTGTAACACGAGTGAGTCGGCTCGACCGGGGAAGGACCACGCTCTCACAAAATACCAGCTTAAAGCTGCTATATTTCGTATGGTGAGTGTAGAGAACCGGAGACCCTTTTTACTGGAAACGAGGCATTCCATCTTAGTCCTCACGGATGACAACGCATCTGCATTTTGATTCGTAATCGAGGATAAATGTAGATGTCTATGGGCCACAGCAACCACTTACCATCAGGTGGACTGTGTGTTCATTTGTCACCCTATCCTATAAAAAAAAACGTAAAAAAAATAGTAAAATGTTC